GATTAAATACACACATACCATTTGCTTTTGGGTGGTGAAACTTTTGCCAATGCTGGTATGTGCCAGTTCCTGGTCCATCTGGGCCATGTAAGACTTGAGATCATCAAGAGCTCCTTCTACAGATGCTTCCCCAGGCTCCTGTGTTTCAAGATCCAAGTTATCGTCACTATCTAAAGAATCAAAGTCTTCCTCATCCAAGTCATCAGAGTCTGATTCATGAGGCCTTGGCCCTACACCCCAACACACAAAAGGCAACTTAATAAATTTTTTTGAGTGATTAAATCTCTAGAAAGAATTAGAATATTATCAGCAGCAAAAGACAAATATCTAATAGCAAACTACTTCACAAAAAGCACTTCTAGAAAACAGTACTGCTGGCAGATATTTGTAGAAAAGTACACAGGCCAAACTGAAAGATTCAGCTTTTTTAAAAAAAATGTGAATTCAATTAATTAGAACATTTTACTTAAAAAATTAAAAAACTACATAATACATGAATATATTTCGATGCAAACATTCAAGTCATACAGAATTATTGTCTCACATTTCACTCTCTTCCCAGAGTTACACATCTTTTAACAGTTTGGTGGACACCTAGACCTTTATCTATGCAGTTCTGTATATATATAAACATATAGTTTAGATATATATTTTTTACATAGATAAAAATGTTGAACTATAGTTGCTTTTCTGCTTATTTTATGTCTTGGAAGTCCTTCTCTGTCAAAACATGTAAATGAACCTCATTCTTTATTAAGGCATTATTTATTAAGTATTTCATAATATGGATGTACAGTTGACCCTTGAATAATGCAGAGGCTGGGATGTGACCCCCTGCAGTCAAAAATCTGCTTATAACTTGACTCCCCGAAAACATTACTAATAGCCTACTGTTGATTAGAAGCCTTACTGATAACATAGTTGATTAATACATATTTTGTATATGTATTATATGTATTCTTATAATAAAGTAAGCTAGAGAAAAGAACAATTATTAAAAAAATCATAGGGAAGAGAAAATATATTGATAGTATTTACTGAAAAAAATCCATATATGAGTGGACCCATACAGTTCAAACCTATGTTGTTACAGGGTCAATTGTGCTAAGATTTATTTAACCATTTCTCTCTTGGTAGACATTTAAGATATTCCAGTTTTTCATTACTACAATGCTTCAATCCCCATCTTAGCATATATATCTTTTTCAGAGAGTAAATTCCTGGAAGTAAAATTGCTAAGTCAAATGTTATAAACATTGTAGAGTACCAAACTGTCCTGCGAAAAGATGACTTACACGTCTACCCCTACAGTTTGAACACTAATAATTTCTCCAACCCTTGAGAAAACTGATTATCAGTCTTTTAAACTTTTGCCAATATGACGGGCAAAAGAAGTTTACTTTTATTGTGTATTTACTTACTAGAAAGTCAACTATTTTCAAATATTTATTGACTATATTTGTTCCTCGAGATACTGCCTGTTTATATCCTTTGTTGATATTTTTTTATTGGGCTATTTGTTTTTTTTATTATTACTGTATAAGTACAGTAAGTCTAAAACAGTAATAACACGGGAGCCAAGGTAAACCCTATCTGAACACACACCATTCACTCATTCAACAAATATTTAATGAGCAGCTACTATGTTAGGCACTGAGCTAACCATTGTCTTGCAAAATCATTCAATACAGCAATAATTCAAGGTTGAAAATAATTCAAGGTTGAAAGCTAATTTTTGTCTTCTGAGAGATCCAATGTGTCAATGCTCTAGCCACAGCCATACTCCTTACTGCTTCAAAATGAAAACAAATATCACACTGTAACTTACCTAAAATCTTATCAAAATAATTAAGAAAAGAATCTGCATCAAAAGTGATTGGAGCCTCAGAAGGTTCTCTGCAAGAGTAAAGGAAAAAGACAATTCATCCCAAACACAAGACTCTTCGAACTTTTTCTGAAGTGGTGCCATTGTTAGGAACACTACCAGAAATATCTCAAAAGAAGTGCAGCATCGAAAACTGCAGTTTAAATTTTAAAAATCCTTATACTTACTGGTCTTGCAGGGCAACAGAAATGGGAAACACTGATAAAATAAAAGTAAAAATTGTACTTTGCTTATGCTTATTTAACTTTTGCTGATTTAGAGATCTACCCACTCTCCACCTCCCACAGATGTAGCTAACATTAGCAAAAAAAAAGTTATTTATCTAAGTTAATTTAAATAAAGTCTATCTCTTTAAGAATTAAATCTTTAACAATTAAGAACAAAACTTCCCTTATCCCTGCTTTCTTAAAGAGAAAATATGAACATAAATTTTAATCTTAGGAGCTCAAGAGCATCAATACTAATAAAGGCAAATTTGCTGTGCAAATAACAATTCCATCAACCTTTTTTCCCATTACTTGCCAAATGTAATTTCCCATTTCTTGTTATTATTTCTTCCTCTGATGAACCCTTTTATCCCACTCTTTTGAGTTTGACGCTTCCAATCTGCTTGTGGATGGGAGATCAGAAGTCTGAGTTTGCTGAGAGCTAGGAGTTAAGAGCCCATAAGGCTCTGAGTAAAAGTCTGAAGAGTACAGTGTAGAGTTGCCCTGCATAGCTCTAGGGTGATGGCTTTTAGATCTGCTGAGTGGTCTCTGTAGCTTACTTAAGGATAGCAAAAGATAAGGTCACTAGAAATCTGATACTAGATAAATTATCATGGTACTAGACACCAAAAGAGGGAAACAAAGTAGTACAAATAAAACAGTACAAATCATTTACTAAAAAAAAAGTATGGAACTGACAACGATGGATGACTTCAACATCTGGGTTACAACTATTTAGTTATTTACACTTTATCACAAATTACCGAGGCAGCTCTGCTCCTTTGTGGGTTGAGACTTTGGATATGAAAGCTTTCATGCTCTTTGAGACTTGAGTTAAGTCATAATTTTCCTCTTTAGAAATGGGTTCTGGTTCTTTTTTGCCAGCAGCTTCCTGCAGTAACTGGTCCAGCTGCTCTGGTGAGAGATCTAACCACCGGTCATCTGAAAAAGGAGAAACCATGATACTGCAATACTATACTCACATGACAGGTACCCTTGGGGATGGCCCCTGTGAGACTTAATGAAATGTTTTAATTTTTTCTAACTCTTTTCTGCTCTATCCTGGTCCATCACTTACCATCTTCTGGGGGAAGATTAGTGGCTTCTTTCTTAAGCTCTTCAATATCAAATGGTACTGTTTGTAATAAGGTTAAGATTTCTTCACCTGGGCTCATCGCAAGAGAGCTATAAAAAAATAAAAGACATAAGTATTTTTTATAAGAGTGTTCATAACAATAATCACAAAAACATAGTATTTTAAAGTTGAAAGAAATTATCTAATTTGTTTTTAACATTTGTTTTAGGATACAGAAACTTTTTCCTCAAATAAAATTTTACCAGGAACACTGAAATATAAAAGAGCTCAAAGAAAAACTGCTTTGCACAGCAAAGAAAACCATCAACAAAATAAAAAGGTAATGTACTGAATGGGAGAAAATATTTGCAAACCATATGTCTGGTAAGGAGTTAATATCCAAAATATACAAAGAACTTATACAACTCAGTAACAACAAAAAAAACAATCCAATTAAAAAATAGGCAGAGGAACTGAACAGACATTCTTCCAAAGAAGAGATATAAATAGCCAACAGGTATATGAAAAGGTGCTCGACATCACTAATCATCAGGGAAATGCAAATCAAAACTACAATGAGATATCACATTACACCTGTTAGAATGACTACTATCAAAGAGAGAGAACAAGTGTTGGTGAGGTTGTAGAGAAAAGGGAACACCTGTGCATTGCTGGCAGAACTATAAACTGGTGCAGCCACTGTGAAAAACAGTATAGAGGTTCCTCAAAAATTAAAAATGGAGCTACCATATGACCCAGCAATCTCATTTCTGGGTATATATCCAAAGAAAACTAAAATAGGATATCGAAGAGATATCTGCACTCCCATGTTTACTGCAGCACTATTCACAATTGCTAAGATATGGAAACAACATAAGTGTCCGTAAATAGATGAATGAATAAAGATGTGGTATATATACACGATGGAATATTATTCGGCCACGAAAAAGAATGAAATCCTGCCATTTGCAACAATATGATGGATCTTGAGGGCGTTATGCTAAGTGAAATAAGCCGGACAGAGAAAGAAAACTACTGCCTGGTATCATATATATATATGGAATCTTAAAAAAAAAAAAAAAAGTCAAACTCATATAAACTGAAATTAGAAAAGTGGTTGCCAGGGACTAGGGGGTGAGGGAGAGATTGGTAATGGGGTAAAAACTTCCAGCTATAAAATAAATACAGTCTGAGGATCTAATGTAAAACATGGTGACTATAGCTGATAACACTGTATTATATAATTGAAATCTGCTAAGATAGTAGAACTTACATGTTCTCAACAACAAAAAGATAAACATGTGAGGTGATAGATGTGTTAATTAACTAAATAATAGGAATCCTTTCACAATGTATACATTCAAATCACCACAATGTACACTTTAAATACCTTACAATTTTATTTGCTAATTATATCTCAATAAGGCTAAAAAAAAAACCCAAAAAACCCACCGGCTTTTCTTGAAATGGAGACTACTGGCTCAGAGACCTACCCATTCTGTCTTCTCCTTTAGCTCTGCAGCAGGCTCCATGGAACAGCATTATGAGGCTGCTGATCTAGTTCAACAACTCTTTCAATTTGTATATATCATATATGAGGAAAAAAAACCCCAGAGGAAAGTATAAACAAAAATTAATCTAAACCATATTACATGCTGGGCTAGCACTTTAATATATTTTCTTATTTAGTTCTCTAATCATTATTATGAGGAGGGGTGTGTGTGTGTGTGTGTGTGTGTGTGTGTGTGTGTGTGTGTAAGTATGTATGTATAAAATCCTGTTTTAAAGATGAGAAACCCAGAGCCCAAAAAATTCTTTAACTTTTGCAAGGTCATTTGGTTGGACTGTGTAAAGGTTTGAAATCAAGTCTTCTGATACTACTTTGTGTTCCTTCTATTATAAACTGATGAGGAAATATGCACAATGATCATTTATATGATAAGCAAGTTATTTTGATGGTGATGTGACTTGTTATATAAATTAATGGAATCCTATCTAAACTAGAAAGAAGCAAATAAAGTTATATAATGCATTTGCATTCATTTAATAAACATTTGCATACCTTGCTAAATCAAGTGGGTGATAAAAAAATTGATCTCTACTCATATTATATAAATATTAGTAGGAAGAAGAAGAGAAATATACAAATAATCATAATAAATTACAAAATATATATAAAGTCATACAAGAATACCAAAATGCTACAGAGAATCATAGGAAAGGGTAATTACATTCATGTGGTTGGAGTAGAGTAGTTAAAAAAAAGAAAGAGAGACAATGGAAGTAGTTATGTAAGGCCTTAAAGAATAAGAAGGAGATTTCTGGCAGGTAAGACAGGGTAGAGAAATGTTAGGCAAGGGGAAAAATGAGCATTTGTATAGAGGCAGGGAAGCAAGGACCATGTGCAGAGAGCAAATAGCGTTCAGTGTGGCTTAAGCATGGAAGATGAGGCTGAACAGGTGGACTGGGATGAGAGCACAGTGGGCTTAAAATGGCTAGAAAGTTTGGGCTCGATGAAATAAGTAGTGGGTAATCACTGATGACTTCTTTTCTATTTTTAATTTTTGTTTAAATCTCTGTATTGAGATTTAAACAATACAGACAAGTCCAAAAGATAATAGAACACCATATCCCTACCAACCAGAATTATAAAATTGTTACATTTACTTCTAGTCTAAATATATAACATTTATACATTAATATAAACAATTAGAATTGGGAAAGATTTGGCAGAGATGTTAGAGGCTTTGTTCATCCCTCTTGAGACCAAATCAAAGTTGTCACAGAAACACAGAGCAAATAGAGAGCAAAGTTGCCTGGGATCTAGATGAACAGAAGCACTACAACTAGGGAGAGAAATAAGAAATCACCCTGCAACAGTAGAAGGTAGGAGGGGCGAACATGTGAGGCTGCCTGGTCACCAGAGGCTGAGTAGGACAGAGGCCATAGCAGCGGCAGCTGGCAGCTGGCAGCTGCAGATGCCTCTTAAAGGGGCCGTGACTGTGAGCGGACTTTCACAGTAACGGATCTGCTCACTCTGAGCACCAGCATCGGTTCAGCTGTGCAGCGGGCACCAGGGACTTACAGGGGAACACTGAGTTATCAGAGTGAGGGCTGAGGGGAGATTCACTCTGTACAGAAGTAGAAGTGCTGGTGGTATCCACTGTTCCTCTGTTGAGCCCTCCCCATTCCCAGCATGTGGACTCAGGCCCGCCATACCTGAGTCATCATAAATGGATAACAGAGGTCCCTCTGCCCAGAGGATTCCCTGAAACTCCGCCTTCCCCAACTCGTGGTCCCACCCAAGTCACATCCAGTTGTGTCCTCCGTGCTCCTTGCTGAGCTAACTCCAAGACCCACCCTCGTGGCAGCTGTCTGCGGTTTCTGGCGTGGCTTCTTGAGGCAACTATAAGCATAACATCTGTGGATTGCTTACTGAATCTTAACAGGTTGTCCTGGAGGGGCACAGGTGGGTACTAAATTTGGCTGGCAAGTGACCCCTCTCAGGACTGTGCCACTAGACACCTACCACACAAAGCCGCACTAATAAGACTGGGAGACTTAGAGCTTTGCTTAGTACATAGAAACAGACACAGAAAGGCAGCCAAAATGGGAAGACAAAAAGGCAGAAACCATATGAGAGAACAGAACAGAGATCCAGGAATAATGGAGTCAAGCAATCTAACTTACAGAGTTCAAAACACTGGTTATAAATATGAAAATAGGATCCCCGCACACACTGCTGGTAGGACTGCAAATTGGTACAGCAAATTGGAAAAGAGTATGGAGATTCCTCAAAAAACTAATTGCTCACTAAAGAAAAAAGAGAAAGGACACAAATAAACAAAATCAGGGATGAAAGGGGAAATTATGACCGACTAGAAATACAAAGGATCATACAAGAATAATATGAAAAAGTATATAATAACAAATTTAATAACTTAGAAGAAATG